ACCATTTTTTCAAAAGTTTCATACCACCATTATCTACAACCACTGTCGCTATCACCGTCCACCTCACACTATCTTGTTGTCACTGTCTACCCTACCACCACATCGTCGTTATTTGAATGCCGCCACCGTTCACCAAGTATCTCCACCATCATTGCAGATTTAGATTTATTTTTCAGATTTAAATTTATTTTTCAATGATAAATTTATCAGTATCTTGCTCTTTGTGTATGTAAAAGAGAATGATGGATTTTTTTAAGTGAGTGCGTGAGTGAATATGAGTAAGGATGGTGGATATTAATGAATGAAATTATAGTGGTGAGTAAATTTATTAGTTTGGTCAATAAATTTACAATGACAAATTTATCAATTAGGATTTGTAAGTAAATAAATTTGGTTTAATAGGATTGACCTGTAAGTGTCCAAAAATAATAACGAAGTAAAAAGTCACTTAAATAAATCAATTCCCAAACAAGATCAGATTTGCTAAAGTTGAAAATATCAACTTAACAAGTGATCATCTGTCAATCATCTGACAAGCTCATCTCTCACTACAATATATAAGAGTTTTAGAAATCAAATATTTTGGTCTTTAAAAGTGAAAATTTTGTTTCAAAAGACATTTAAGGATCAATTTCTATCGTTATGAGAATAGTCGCTAAAAAGCCGTCCCAAAAAGTAAAAAATAAGGCTTTTGGCGACAAAATTTTAAAAATGTCACTAATAAATAGACTTTTATGAACAAAATAATTTGATCTCAAAATAATTAATTTTTTGAGACAAAAAATTTGGTCCCAAAAAGATAATAATTCATCATTAATGTCTAATTTTCATTGCTAAAAATAAAATAACGACACTTTTCGCAACAAAAATATTTGATCCTTAAAAAATAATCTTGTCCCTAAATTGTGGTCTCTAAAAACTTAATTTTTTGTAGTGTCTTATGACAAGTGAAGAAGAAAATACATGTAAAAAATAATATTGATCAAACATAAATAATTATATGATCAAATCATATATATATTTTAACAAGTGGATGTTTATTATTAATAATGATATAATGAAATGACAATCAGCTTTGTAGGGACAATTTTTTCAATTAATTGTATGAAATAAACGATTTAAATTATCAAAAATACATCTAAATTCTCATAATAAGTCAATTTCATTGTAAAGTTAAAATATTCAACTTTAAGTAATCTGGACTCAATCCAGACACATTAAACTTCTCCCATTCCATTCTCAATTTTGCTCTGGTTCACAAGCCCATCTGTGTTTGAGTACACTATCAAACTCATCTGGTAGATGATGATAGTGATAGGTTGATTAATCGTAATAGTAGTAGTTGATGTGATGATCCACACTATCATCCTCCAGTCTCAGTTGGAGCTTGGATTTTTTGGGGGGAAATTAATATTCAGAAGGTATTTTTAAGAATTATTATAAAATAATAAAAATTATGATTTTAATTGTTAATATTTATTATTTTTTGTATTTTTTTTTTTCTGAAATCCTCTTACATGTAATTGCCCCCATTTTTTATGGGGACAACAAATATTGAGTCTACCACATTTTATTTTATTTTTTGATAAATTACATATCAGGTTATTTTTCTAAAAATCATTATATTTTAGTGAACAAAATTAACATAATAATTAAAATCACAAAAATTTTCAATGATGTTGTAATTATTTTTCTAACACTCCACTATTTTGTAATATTTTCTTTCCTTCTTTTTTGAAAAAATTACAAAGAAAGTATAGTTTTCAAAAATATTACATAATCATAAAAAAGTTTATAACTTTAATAATTAAAATTTATAAACTTTATGATAAATCTGAAAAAAAATTTCAATCATATAATACTGATTGGTGATTTTCCACTTTTTATAATAAAAATATATATAATTTTTTGAAAAGGGATTAGGTTAGCATGGAATTCGAACTACAAATGATCACGAGGCAACGTGGCTCTCTACCAACCCAATTAGCCTGGTTTACACGTGGGCAGATGGTTGTTGCTTCAACCAACCCTCTTCTCTTCTATAATACATTTTCTATGATTTACTTTAAAATATGAAATTCTTTTTGTGGCTTTGAAAATTAATTCACGCCTATTCAAGTTTTTAATTGTATAATAAATAATTCTTTTTATAAATAAATCATCAAATTAATTAATTTTTTAATAATATTAAAAATATATTTCAATTAGTATTATTTTATTATTATATAGAATAATAAATTAGAAATTTTATTTTTTCTATTAATTCTGTTAAATAAAAAACTTGACAAAGCGGTATTTATAATTTTTAAAATTACATAAAATAATTTATATTTTACATAAATCTCAATAAGTGTATTTATAATTTTACCTTTTTTCAATTGCTTTTTTCTTAGCCAAAACGAATTTTACTTCTCCATTGTTTTGCTTTTTTCTTTGTCAAAACGAATTTTACTTAGCCATCTCCATTGTTTAATGAAAAGTATTATAATCTTCTAAAAGGGCACTTTGATGTCAATACATGCATCTTAATCATCACCATTATAGTAAAAATAAAAAAAAAAATGCATTTAATAATTCAACTAGATTTTCCAGCCCAAACTGGGCTTTGGTCTTCATAATTCTTTACCAGTTTTTCAGTTGGAAGTGGTCCAAGGTTGTTTGCAAACAAGGGCTTTGGTTTATAGAATTCTTTACGATCGTGTTTAAAATTTTTATATTTTAAATTTCTAATTACATAATATAATTTATTCCAAAAAAAAAAAATCACATCATCATATGTATTGAAACAAGGAGATAAAGGGCTTGTTTGGTTTGATTTTGGGAGATGAGTTTGGGAGATAAAAAGTACGAAAAGTTGTTTGGTTTGGTTTTTTTGGAAAGATGTTTTGGAAAATTATTTTGAGAGAGAGTTTTGGAAAAAGTGATTGATTTGATGTGTATGAGAGAGAGATTTGTTTGGAAAACTTGTTTGGTTTACAAGTTTTGAAAAAAAAATTTGGGAAAATTTGTTTGGTTTGAGTTTTTCTGAAAACTCATTTGTAGAGAAATTTTCCCAAAAATTTTTGGGAAATTCAAACCAAACGAACCCAATAAATTTGGAGATACATGATTCAGTCTACTATTTGAGCCTATAATGCCCCTCAAGGATTTATATTTTATTAGCTTAAATCGTTTATTTTATAAGTCATATTTTTATATCATTTAAAAATAATAATAATCAGACTAATCTTATAATGTCATGAATGAATTATGTCATCGCAAAAATGGATAAAAAATAAATGGTCTTTATTTATTTTTTGAAGATAAATATAATAAAATCGTATAATTATAATTATCAAATTTTTATTTTTATTTTTTCACAAATAGTCTACAAACAGAGCCTCACAAAAAATAAACGATTCACCAAAATAAGACTTATCATAAAGAGGTGGAAAACCTCCGGGCCATTATGGATTTGAAGGCATTTGTTCAAGCTCATGGGGCTCACGGATTCTATTTTGATAATTAAAATCGTTCATTTTGTTAAGCACTTCATAAATATCATTTAAAAAAATAACCCGATAATCGTAACCTATTCAATTTATTATGTTTGTCACAAAAAAAAAAAGACGACAATTGTGTTTTTAAACAAAATATATCATTTAATTTTTTATTTTTTTGTTATGCCAAACACAATAAATAGAATAAGTTACAATTAACGGATCAATCTAATTTTTGTGTGAATAATACACACAAAGTGTCCGATAACATAAAAATATAAATTATCGAAATAAAACTCATAATAAGCCTCACACCCCGAACAACCCCTTCGGTCCAAACTATGTCCTTGTGATAAACTCATGCACCCAAACAGTAGCCACACAGTGCACCGTATAAAATCTTCTTGGCCCCAATGTTTATATGAGATCTTTAAAGGTAAGTTACTGGAACAATCTTTTGTTTGTCAGTGTGTATTATTTATTTCCTTGTAAATTTCACCATGGAAGCAAGTGATTCATAAGAAAATCTAGTACGTGGGTCTACCTAGGCCAGTGTTGGAGAGGTCACAATATGTCTGGTTGGCAAGGGACTCGCGTGATCTTTGTGATGGTTTTGTTTTGTTTTCATATGCTTTCATGTTTCTAGTACTAGGCACTTAGCTCCAAAACAAGACACCAATTGCTAAGTTCACAGCAAAGAGAAAGTACTAATTCAAAAAACGAAAAAGCAAAGGGAGTACGATACAACAAAAGTAGATTGTGATATATCTATATTATAATATCACAACAATCTTTTTAAAAAAAATTTTTAACCACCAAGGAACCATCCTAATTGATGAGGAAATTTCTCATCTCCTCATTGATCATAATTCGAATCCCTTACTATTCAAGTAAAAATCCGACGGTTTAGATAGATCGGCTAGTATATCCTCCACTTTGACTTGTACAGGTGAGTCGTCATGATGTCAAGACACTCCTTTTATGTGGTAGGAAGCTAGCATTAAGTTAATTGAATGTAAAAATCATAGTGTGTTAGGTGTTCTTGTGTTTGGTTGAAAAAAGGAAGAGGACAAAGATATCTTTTCATGCCTTTCACTATCTAATTAGACTAAGACCAAGTTTGGCATTCTTAAAATAATCCATCTTTTTATCTTTTTATCTTTTTTTCATCACATCACCTCTCTACTTTTCTGCACATCTTTTCGTAAAAAGACAAAAAGTACACTTATTTAGATCATCCCAAACAACCCCTAAAAGACAAGCAACAAGGGATAAGCTTTTGAACATCAGGAGATTCTTTTGCATGATAGAAAAGTGGAAATCTAGGTTAATTCAAAAAATTCAAACACAATTTAAAAATACATATGATTTCCACCAACATAACAATTGCATGCTCACTAAACCAACTTGAATAGAAACACGCCTTCCGTGCTAACTCAAAATTAAATGAAAAAATTAAAAACATAAAAATAAGAATCAAACAAATTGCAATGGTCTAGGGTTTTTTTTTTTTTTTTTTTCAAATGACTAAATGGTGAACACTTCTTTCAAATTGTGCGGTTTAGATCTCTGTGTCAAATAAACGGATCATCATGTCAGACACCAACCTACGAGCAAATGGAATATAACTCAAACTGTACCTGAAACAACTCAAAAATGGCTGCATAAGCAAGATAGGCATTCATACAATACAACTCACTTTCAGATAGGTAATTGATTAAACACCATACATTGAAGTTTTAATTATGTAAAGAAGTGTGCATGCGGCAATAAGTAACAACTTGATCGACCTCAACAATACAAGTTTGCACACAGTATAAGTGAGAGTAGAGTTCATGAAAAATAAACAAGAATTATGCATGTGAAAAGCACTCACCAAATTAGGGCACAGATCTCACTTATAATTGCTAGTATTGTCAAAACCTTACTACGGATCTGCAAGCAAAAAATTCAGAAGATTAAAAAGTAGTTTCCAAAAAAGTTACTATAAACATTATGCTAGTGCTGATTCCATCTTTAAATGTCAAGTGTTGGACTTAACATGATGCAAGGACCAAAAAAGAGGAGCCCATAAGTAGAGAATGTGCAAAGAAACAAATGGCTTCTAAATGTACTACTTTTTAAAAAAAATGAGCCATTTCAAAATTTTCTTTTCCTGTTTTATGTATTTGATAAATTTTAGAGATATTTTTGAATTATTTAAATATGCTCTTGAATTCTACCAAGTTGAAATTGATGCCAAACCTAAAACATAAAATCCAGAAGATAAATGTACAAAATGAACTTGGCTACCTAGGATAACCTATAATCCAATCTCATTACATTTTTAAAACAGATGAAAGGATTAATGAAAAATGATGCAAATAAATTTGTCCTATGAAGAACTATTGTGCCCTTTTAATTGAACAGTGAAAAACAGCTTATCCTCCATGTCAACACGTATTCCAAAGAACCTCCATTACAATATTCTCCCCATCTGGCCATGTAGTCAAGTTTTCACTACATGTATTCCAAAGAACCTCCATACTACTACTGCTACCTACTACTACTACTACAACTACTTTCCTGTTCAGTGAAGCTCAGAGACTTACCACGAGAGCACATATGAGAGCTAAGACAACACACCCAACGTAAATAGCTGTTGCGTAAATACGAACAGGGTCAAGCATCATTCTCATTTGTTGCCCAGGTCCAATAATGAATGCCGTGCTGCCACACATAGTTTCAAGTTTAAAATCTAATGAAATAAAAGTTAGAAGAGTTAAGTACCATATTGAAATTGAGATAATAATAGGAAAGAAGTTATATGCAACTTCCACTTGTTTGTGGTCATCTGGAAACTTGGTGGGTTTTAGGCTTTAGTATTGATGAAATAACATCATTTGGCTCAATCAGCTAATTTTAAACAAACCTTCCAACAGCCAACATATTCCCAAAGGTAAACAACACTGCAAACTTGATGGGTTTGGCAAAAACAATCAATGACTGCAAAAATATACAAGGTAGAAGACATGTTAAATAGGCATCACCAATTGATCAGTACATTTAGACAATAACATTCAGCAGCAGAAGTATCAAATGAAATTGCCTGTATCAAAAATTCAAATGTTAAAACATTTACAAATGTAAAAGACAATCTTCACTTCAACATCCGTGACTTGGTATTGTGCATTATCTTTTCCCAAAGTAAATATATGCAGTTAAAAAGAAATATGAAATGTTATTTATTCCTATTCCTATTCCTGACATAGAAAGAAAGTTTTCAAATTTATAAAACCACAAACATCATCATTTTTACCCTCTAACGTCTATGCTAATTACCAGCCGATTTGGTGAACTGTGAGAAAATTGAATTCATAACCCAATTGATCTGATCTTTTCAGCAGATGGGAGCCGATGGGAGCCGATAGGAGCAGATAGGAAACCTCAAACAATGATGTTGGGATGACAGCAGTGATATAGGGAACAGCCAATAGGGGAATCCAAAGTGCAAAGGTAAACACCTGAAAATCGTATAGGTGATCCCAAACATGCGGAAGCCTGAAATAAACAGTTTATGTCAGCTCTGAAGCCTGACAAAAACAGTCCGAGCACTCTTCTACAGAGTCCATAAGAATGAAATTTACAATGAAAATGATATGTGCAAACGATTGCAGGAATGGGAAAATTTCTCACACTTCTCATGGCAAAAAATGCAATTTGTGTCATTATTATCAGAAAGGAAGTGTTGTGCTGCTTTGACAAACAAGCCAAGAGCCTTCATCTACCCATAATGTGTCAAGGGATATGGAGCAAGAGACTTGGTAGTGACACCCTACTTACAAAGGAATGAGTACTTCAACACAGGCCAAACCTGAAGAAAGCAGCCCCAATGGCATGTGACACCACGAAGGGCCCTTTGCGGGGGGCTGAGTGCCTTTTTTAAAGGCAACATTGAAGATGAAGATGTCCTAGGAATTAGTAAATGTAAGGGCACATGACAATATGTTGCTTCTTCAAACAATGTAAAAATGACAAACTAGATCCAGCTATCTTTGTGGTTCAGCATTATGGATTGGGAACACACACAATTCTACTATGTTGCACGAACATGGACATGGGACACGACACGACACGGACATATGGATACATAAATTTTCAAAAAATGAGGGACACGACACACTGGGGGCACGTTTAATATATATAATTTTATTTATTTATTATATGTCTAAAATTAAAAAAAAAAATTATTAGTTCCTATACAATTATAATAATAATAAAATTAATAAACATATTTCTTAAATTTTTTCAATAAAAATTGATTTTTTTTTTGAATAAAAATAATTTATTCTATAAATTTTAGGTTTAAAAAAAAAAAAAAAAAAAAAAAAAGAAAAAAAAAAGGAGAGGGGAGAGAGAGAGAGAGAGAGAGATGAAATCGGGAAATAAAAGGAAGGGAGAGAAACGGGAGGAGAAAAAGAGAGAGAAGTGAAAAGAATAGAGTGAAATCAGAAAGAGACAACAAAAGAAGAAAAGAGAGACAAACCAGAGAAGAAGACGAACAAAGAAGATGAAGGATAGAGAAGACGAAGAGAAGGAAGCAGAGCAAAGAAGACGAAGAAGATTACCTCAGGTTAGGGCTTCTTTGATTCATCTCTTTTGAACAGATTAGGGCTTTTTCGTTCAATCAATCTCTCCCTCGATCTCTTTCTCTCCTTTATGATTGTGTTTAAAATTTTTATATTTTAAATTTCTAATTACATAATATAATTTATTCCAAAAAAAAAAAATCACATCATATGTATTGACACAAGGAGATAATAAATTTATATAATTACAATTATCAAATTTTTATTTTTATTTTTTCACATATAGTCTACAAACAGAGCCTTGCAAAAAATAAACGATTCACCAAAATAAGACTTATCATAAAGAAGTGGAAAACCTCCGGGCCATTATGGATTTGAAGGCATTTGTTCAAGCTCATGGGGCTCATGGATTCTATTTTGATAATTAGAATCGTTCATTTTGTTGAGCACTTCATAAATATCATCCAAAAAAACAATCCGATAATCGTAACCTATTCAATTTATTGTGTTTGTTACAAAAAAAAATAGACGACAATTATGTTTTTAAACAAAATATATCATTTAATTTTTTATTTTTTTTGTTATGACAAACACAATAAATAGAATAAGTTACAATTAACGGATCAATCCAATTTTTGTGTGAATAATACACACAAAATGTCCAATAACATAAAAATATAAATTATCGAAATAGAACTCATAATAAGCCTCACGCCCCGAACAACCCCCTTTGGTCCAAACTATGGACCGGAAGAATCACATCCTTGTGATAAACTCATGCACCCAAACAGTAGCCACACAGTGTACCGTATAAAATCTTCTTGGCCCCAATGTTTATATGAGATCTTTAAAGGTTTACTGGAACAATCTTTTGTTTGTCAGTGTGTATTATTTATTTCCTTGTAAATTTCACCATGGAAGCAAGTGATTCATAAGAAAATCTAGTACGTACAGGGTCTACCTAGGCCAGGGTTGGAGAGGTCACAATATGTCTGGTTGGCAAGGGACTCGCGTGATCTTTGTGATGGTTTTGTTTTGTTTTCATATGCTTACATGTTTCTAGTACTAGGCATTTAGCTCCAAAACAAGACACCAATTGCTATGTTCACAGCAAAGAGAGAGTACTAATTCAAAAAAAGAAAAAGCAAAGAGAGTACGATACAACAAAAGTAGATTGTGATATATCTATATTATAATATCACAACAATCTTTTTTTAATTTTTTTTTAACCACCAAGGAACCATCCTAATTGATGAGAAAATTTGCTCATCTCCTCATTGATCATAGTTCGAATCCCTTACTATTCAAGTGAAAATCCGACGGTTTAGATAGATTGGCTAGTATCCTCCACTTTGACCTGTACGGGTGAGTCTTCATGATGTCAAGACACTCCTTTTACGTGGTAGGAAGCTAGCATTAAGTTAATTGAATGTGAAAATCATAGTGTGTTAGGTGTTCTTGTGTTTGGTTGAAAAAAGGAGGAGGACAAAGATATCTTTTCATGCCTTTCACTATCTAATTAGACTAAAAGACAAGCAACAAGGGATAAGCTTTTGAACATCAGGAGATTCTTCTGCATCATAGAAAAGTGGAAATCTTCGTTAATTCAAAAAGTTCAAACACAATTTAAAAATACATATGATTTCCACCAACATAACAATTGCATGCTCACTAAACCAACTTGAATAGAAACACGCCTTTCGTGCTAACTCAAAATTAAATGAAAAAATTAAAAACATAAAAATAAGAATCAAACAAATTGCAATGGTCCAGGTTTTTTTTTTTTTTTTTTTTTTAAATGACTAAATGGTGAACACTTCTTTCAAATTGTGCGGTCTAGATCTCTGTGTCAAATAAACGGATCATCATGTCAGACACCAACCTACGAGCAAATGGAATATAACTCAAACTGTACCTGAAACAACTCAAAAATGGCTGCATAAGCAAGATAGGCATTCGTACAATACAACTCACTTTCAGATAGGTAATTGATTAAACACCATACATTGAAGTTTTAATTATGTAAAGAAGTGTGCATGCGGCAATAAGCAACAACTTGATCGACCTCAACAATACAACTTTGCACACAGTATAAGTGAGAGTAGAGTTCATGAAAAATAAACAAGAATTATGCATGTGAAAAGCACTCACCAAATTAGGGCACAGATCTCACTTATAATTGCTAGTATTGTCAAAACCTTACTACGGATCTGCAAGCAAAAAATTCAGAAGATTAAAAAGAAGTTCCCAAAAACATTATGCTAGTGCTGATTCCATCTTTAAATGTCAAGGAACTGCCAAAATTCCTGTGTTGGACTTAACATGATGCAAGGACCAACAAAGAGGAGCCTATAAATAGAGAATGTGCAAAGAAACAAATGGCTTCTAAATGCACTACTTTTAAAAAAAAATGAGCCATTTCAAAATTTTCTTTTCCTGTTTTATGTATTTGATAAATTTTAGAGATATTTTTGAATTATTTACATATGCTCTTGAATTCTACCAAGTTGAAATTGATGTCAAACGTAAAACATAAAATCCAGAAGATAAATGTACAAAATGAACTTGGCTACCTAGGATAACCTATAATCCAATCTCATTACATTTTTAAAACAGATGAAAGGATTAATGAAAAATGACGCAAATAAATTTGTCCTATGAAGAACTATTGTGTCCTTTTAATTGAACAGTGAAAAAGAGCTTATCCTCCATGTCAACACGTATTCCAAAGAACCTCCATTACAATATTCTCCCCATCTGGCCATGTAGTCAAGTATTCACTACATGTATTCCAAAGAACCTCCATACTACTACTACTACTACTTTCCTGTTCAGTAAAGCTCAGAGACTTACCAAGAGAGCACATATGAGAGCTAAGACAACACACCCAACGTAAATAGCTGTTGCATAAATACGAACAGGGTCAAGCATCATTCTCATTTGTTGCCCAGGTCCAATAACGAATGCCGTGCTGCCACACATAGTTTCAAGTTTAAAATCTAATGAAATAAAAGTTAGAAGAGTTAAGTACCATACTGAAATTGAGATAATAATAGGAAAGAAGTTATATGCAACTTCCACTTGTTTGTGGTCATCTGGAAACTTGGTGGGTTTTAGGCTTTAGTACGGTAACCTCCTGAAGTCTTTTGTTCAATTGATTAATCTTTATTCCTTTTATGTGTTAGCATGTAACACAAAGCTGTATTAGTTAACATGTGTTTTCCATGCCATTTGTACCGATTTCCTTTCTAATTGGGAGCATTAAGATTTTTTTTTTAATTTTTTTTTTTTTTTAGATAGGAGGAGGAGCATTGAGATGTTATATTATATTTTTGTTAAGAATTATTTATCAAGGATCATCGTAGGGTTACAGGAATTGCTTTCATTGCTTATTCCATATCATTCTATTTGGTGATG